TAGTGGAGATAGCTTGGTGTAAAACTGATGGGTGAAAGGGCTGCTTCTGTGATACATGATTCTATGTCAAACCACTCAGCTACTTTCAAACATCTGGCAAGCTGGGAGCAGCAGGGCCAATGAGTCAATGAACTCCTTCAGTTTCAATTCCAAATCCAGTACAGGTCAGGCAAAAGTAATGCAAATGATACCCTTAGTCAGAAGACTGAACACAGGAGGGAACCTACCCCTGTCTGGGTATGGCTGATGCTATGCTCATGCCCATGCCCATCTCCACAGACATGACAAATTTAAATAGTTTCGCAAAAGAGCCAATGGAAGATGAACAAAAATGTTTTCGCACATTCTGTGTTGGGGACTTCGGAGTGGAGTTTGGAGTGTACTTTCTGGACATGTGGAGTAGGTTCAACTGAAGCTTCCAAGAGGGCATTGGATGGTTAGTTAAATAGAAACAATTGGCAGGGTTATATGCAGGAGATTTGCACTAAGGCAAAATGCCGGTGCAAACTCGATAAGCTGAATGGTCTCCTTTTGCACCCTAACAATTCTGTGATTCTTTATGTAGAAATTGGTTAGACTGTGTAACTTGCTATTACATGAAATACTTGAGGCAAACAACTGTATACAACAAAGGGAAAAAAAAGACAAACATACAAAGATGAAGGATAAGTTTTTTTTTTAATTCATTGTTTTTGGGATGTGGGCATCGTTGGCTGGCCAGCATTTATTGCCCATCTCTATATACCCTTGTCCTTCTTGAACCGCTGTAGTCTACTGCTGTTGTTTGACCTACAATGCCATTAAGGAGGGAATTCCAGCATTTTGAACCACTGACAGTGAAGGAATGGCAATTTATTTCCAAGTCAAGATGGTGAGAGGCTTGGAGGGAACTTGAAGGTGTGGTGTTCCCATGTATCTGCTGCCCTTGTCCTTCTCGATGGAAGTGGTCATGGATTTGGAAGGTGCTTCTGAGGATCATTGGTGAATTTCTGCAGTGCATCTTGTAGACAGTACACACTACTGTTACTGAGAGTTGGGGGTGGAGGGTATGGATGCTTGTAGATGTAGTGCCAATCAAGTGTGCTGCTTTGTTCTGGACGGTGCCAAGCTTCTTGAGTGTTGTTGGGGCAAGTGGGGAATATTCCATCACATTCCTGACCTGCGCCTTGTAGGTGGTGAACAGGCTTTGGGAAGGTCAGGAGGTGAGTTACTAAAGTCTGACCTGCTTTTGTAGCCACTGTGTTTATATGGCAAGTCCAGTTGAGTTTCTGGTCAATGGTAGCCTCCAGGATGTTGATAGTGGGGAATTAGTGATGGTAACACCATTGAATGTCAAGAGGTAGTGATTAGATTGTTTCTTATGGTTAATAGTCATAGCCTGGTATTTGCATGATGTGAATATTACCTGCCGCTTGTCAGCCTAAGACTGGATATTGTCCAGATTTTGTGGCATTTGAACATGGACTGCTTCAGTATCTGAGGAGTCACGAATGGTGCTGAGCATTGTGCAATCATCTGTGAACATCCTCACTTCTTACCTTATGATTGTCAGAAGGTCATTGATGAAGCATTTGAAGACAGTTGGACCTAGGACACGACCCTGAGGAACTCCTGTAGAGATGTCCTGGAGCTGAGATGACTGACCTCCAACAACCATGACCATCTTTCTATTACCAGGTTGACTCCAATCAGCAGAGAGTTTGCCCCTTGATACTCATTGATTCCAGTTTTGCTGATGCCACATCTTGATGCCACATCTGGTCGAATGTGGCCTGATGTTAAGGGCTGTCACAATCACCTCACCTCTGCAATTCAGCTCTTTTGTCTGTGCTTGAACCAAGGCTGTAATGAGGTCAGAAGTTGAATGGCCCTCGTGGAACCCAAACTGGGAATCACTGAGCAGGTTATTGCTGGTCATGTGCTGCTTGATAGTAAAATTGATGACACCTTCCATCACTTTACTGATGATTGAGAGTAGACTGATGGGATGGTAATTGGCTGAGTTGGATTTATCCTGCTTTTTATGAACAGGACATACCTGGGCAATTTTCCACATTGCTGGGTAAATGCCGGTGTTGTAATTATACTGGAACAACTTAGCTGGGAGAGCGGCAAGTTCTGGAGTGCAAATCTTCGGCACTATTGCCAGAATGTTGTCAGGGCCCATAGCCTTTACAGTATCCAATGTCTCCAACCGTTTGTTGGTATCACATGGATTGAATCCAGTTGGCTGAAGACTGGTGTTTGTAATTCTGGGGACCATTGGAGTTGGCCGAGATGGATCATCTGCTTGACACTTCTGGCTGAAGATTGTTGCGAATGCTTCAGCCTTACCTTTTGCACTGATGTGCTGGACTCTTCCATCATTGAGGATTGGTATATTTGTGGAGCCTCCTCCTCCAGTGAGTTGTTAAGTTGTCCACCACCATTCTTTACTGGAAATGGCAGGGCTGCAGAGCTCAGATCTGATCCGTTGGTTGTGGGATTGCTTAGCTGTGTCTATCATTTGCTGCTTATGTTCTTTGGCATGTATGTAGTCCTGTTTGGTAGCTTCAATAGGTTGACAACTCATTTTCAGGTATGCCTGGTCCTGCTCTTGGCATGCCCTCCTGCGCTGTCCATTGAACAAGGGTTGATCTCCTGGCTTAATGGTGATGGCTGATTGGGGGATATGCGGCCATGAAGCTGCATATTGTGCTGGAGTACAATTCTGCTGCTATCGATTGCCCACAGCGCTTCATCGATAACCAGTCTTGAGTTGCTAGATCTGTTTGAAGTCTGTTCCATTTAGCATGGTGATAATGCCAGATAGTTCTGCAGCTGGCAAATTGGTAAGGATGAGGTCAAGTATGTTTTTCCCTCTTTTTGGTTCCTTCACCATCTTCTGCAGATCTAATCTACCAGCTAGGTCCTTTATGACCTGACCACCTCAATCAATAGTACTGCTGCTGAGCCACTCTTGGTGGTTGACATTGAAATCCCCCACCCAGAGTACATTTTGCACCCTTGCCATCCTCAGTGCTTCAAGTGTTGCTCAACATAGAGGAGTTTGAATTCATCAGCTGAGGGAGGACAGTATCAGTAATCAGTGCATGCTTAACCTGAAACCACAAGACTTCATGGGTCCGGAGTCACTGTTGAAAACTCCAAGGGTAACTCCCTCCCAACTCGATACCACTGTGCCACCACCACTGTTAGATCTGTTCTGGTGGTGGGACAGGGATGGGGTTGATGCAGTTTGGGACATTGTGAGTATGGCTATGTCAGGCTGTTGCTTGACTAATCTGTGAGACAGGTCTCCCTGTTTTCCCATCAGCCCCCACATATTAGTGAGGAGGATTTTGCAAGGTTGACGGGGCTGTTTCTGCCATTGTCTTTTCTGATGCCTAGGTCAATGCCAAATGATCTGTCTGGTTTCATTTCTTTGAGACTTTGTCACGATTGATACAACTGAATGGCTTGCTAAGCCATTTTAGAGAGCAACTGAGAGTCAACCACATTGCTGTGGGTCTGGAGTCACATGTAGGCCAGACCAGATGAGGATGGCAGATTTGCTTCCCTGAAGGACATTAGTGAACCAGATAGGGTTTTCCAGCAATCGACAATGGTCTCATGATCATCAGTCGATTCTTAATTTAATTTTGTTTTTGTTGAATTCAAATCCCATCATCTGCCATGACGGGATTTGAACCCTGGTTCTCAGAACATTAGCTAAATTTCTGGATTAATAGTCTAGTGATAATACCACTAGGCCATCACCTCCCCTGACATGAGGTGAGGTGGATGAAATAGACTGAAAGAAAACTTGTGTGGAGCGCAAGTGCCAGTACTGACTAGATGGACTGACTGACCTGTTTTTCAGCTGCAAATGATATTCAATCCTATGTAATATCCAGTTTTTAGTTATTCTATCTCGAGCATGATCCCCAGCATCTTTTGATTTCTACTTTTTAAATCTATCTTTGGGATCTCCTGTGTCTTTCACTCTCCACCGCTGAACTCTGCCAGCTATAATTTTACATTTCTTAACTCCCCATTAAGGATCCTGTTGCTGTCTATTTATATATTAGAACAGCTGCTGCTAGTTGCTTTCTTCTCATCAGCGTAGTATTTTCCATTTGTTCTACTTGCTGCTACTTTAGTAAAACTTCAACATAGATCCAGAAAAATTAGCAAAACAGATCTTGTAAGCTTTCATAATTGTTAATCACAAAATGTCTTGCACACTTCTTGTGATTGCACACCTGTGGTTTCCTGAGCTGAGAATAAACTCAGGTTACTGTTAGTTGTGAGTGTCACTACCTATTTAAAGAGCACGCATTGAAATATGATATATATACGTAATGAATACTTGTGTATTCTTATAACGTCCAAAATAATTTACATAATGCCAGTGTAAAACTATTAATGGAAAAAACAAGTTATTGTTACTTTGCATGATTGCACTATTGACTCTGTATATTCTCCATTTTACATTTAAGTTTCTTCCATTTTTGCACTTCTAGGCAAGGGAACAACAAGCATATATTTCCAAGTTGCCTTCTTTTTGTATTGTAGCTGATGTGAGGCCTAGGTTTGTTTACCCACTGAAATTTTTTGTTCTATTGCATTTCCTTGTCTTATTTTTGCTCAGCACCACCCTTGAGGAATGATTTTAGTTCATTTGGCTGGATATCAGTTACAAATCTAACATAACTAGAAGCAAATCTTGTCATTAAGTACCATCTGTTTTCTCTGTTCATGTATGGAGAGATGGGCCAAGGCAGCTCAATAAAATTGCTTTTCAGATATGTCGAGAATTATTTGGCATAAATATCTAAAGCCTGAAACTGAAGATTTAAAGTTGAATCTTCTTTATACTTCCTATCAAATTGATCTCGAAGTGTTGCTAATTGTATTTGAGAAGATGTTTCTTTACAAAGAGGGAAACAACATAATAGTAGTGATATATCATGCATGAACCAGGTAAAATATTTTTTTAACTCGTATCTACTTTCCAGGAATTGTGCGTACTAAGAAACTTGAAAGTATTGGATGTTGCTGGAAATCAGTTACATATTTTCCCAACAAAGGTCAGTATTATTTTATAAACATAATCTGTTTACTAATAAGATGCATTAAATCTTTCCTCAACTTCATATATATTTACGCTTTTTACCGTTGTTCCCTGAAACAATACACCATGAACTTTATCTGTTAATTTCTTTAATATTTCACTTTTGTTTTGAAATTAGTAGCTCAGTTTTAAACAACAAATGGGCATAACTGATCGTCTCAAGTTAGACACTTAAATGCACAAAGTTCTACTGACTGTCGCTTGTCTTGAGTAAAGTGAAGATGAAATTCTGTCTTAATATTGCACTTGCAATTGATAGAAGAGCTGAATCTGTGCTTTTACTGGGAAGCCTATACATTGTGCATGCACGGTATGCATTTATCGACCTATTTAAATAAACAGGCAAAAAACCCCAAAATTGTGCAACCATAATAACTTCCTACAAGTACCACCCCATGTTACTGGAAGCCTGGAATTGATCCTCTGGCAATTTCTAACATATAATATAAAAATATTGACATTTCAACTGAATACAATTGATAAAGATAATTTTATATGTACAAAATTTTTGCTTTGAGACAGTGAGCTGAATTTGTCAGGTACCTGCTCTAGTTTCCATGTTGGGATTTCTTGATCTATGGTCAGTTTGATATTGTCAAAAGCTGCATATTAATGAGGTGAGTTGGGCCATCAACAAGATTTTATAAAGCAATAATTCCCCTCATGGTCCTATGGTCTTACAGTCTTAAATGGGAACTTGCTACACATACCAAGAAACTTGTCATGTCAGTTGTGAAAAGCTTAAAAGTGGAGCAAGACGCTCCTGATGTCAAGATGGGCTTTGCTGCACTTGTGTGTATCTGACACAAATCTCGCCATAACTCAAATCACTCAAACCCTAAACAATTCCACCCAGTGTATCTGTATGCATCCTTGTATATGTTATAAGTAAACGGTTCCCATTCTTTAAAAGGAAAAAAAACAGTATTATTCGTTAGATTCCTGACCAGACAGACAATGTACCTTTAAGACTGTTATATGACAAGTATTGGGTTCCTATTGAGATAGATGGTTTAAAGTTTATAAACAACACTGAATATTTAAATTGTTATAATACGTCTGATTTGTACATAATGCATTACATACAATTACAGATTGATTTGATACAGTACACTGACTCTGCTTCACAGAGAATGACTGAAGGCGAGGCACGTACTTTTGTACCGGAATATTACATCAGCTAACCTATAGAGCATCATTCAGACCATATCATACCAGCAACGCTCTTTGACCAAGAAGCGATGTCACCTTCTTTACTTCTTCCATCCTGACTTGTTGCTGTTTCTTTGATTTATCAAAATATTGAGACTTTACCAGTTAAAACTCCAACCGTGCACATACAGACTTAGACAGACAAAAACATTGGTGTTATGGATGGAGGGTTAAAAAAAAAACTGTGGAAGCAGTTTGATGGCTTCTGTCCACACGGTTCACTGAGATGATCCCTTTTCGAGCCAGGACTTGCTGTCCTTCAACATTTTTGTTCCTGGTTCTTTCTACTTTCTCACAGGAGGCACAGGTTTTTGGCTTACAAATTATAGAGTTAAGTATTATTGGTTGAAAGCAACAGTTTACAGCAACTGGTGAGACAAAAATAACTGGCTTTCTTTGGGCTTCATGTACTTTCCACGGTCAGCAACATACCTCCTCCACTTCCAGCAGTTTGAAGAATTTTGGCAATATGGCTGACACCCACAAGTTGTTCAGCTACCCTGGAGCCAACCACATAATTGTTGGCAAGCAGTTGGCTTTTGTCATCAAAAACTGGACATCAGTCCACAAACCAATCAGCTACTTGCTGCTGGCCAACTCTTAATTTGGATACACCCTCTCATGCCAGCATATCTACAACCAGCCTCTCCCATTGCTTGAACGTAGCAGAAATTTAAACACCATTTACTCTCAGTTTTGGTAACATTCTTTTTAAAAATGTAGCAACCCTGTCCACAGACCTTAGTTTCTCAAATAGTCCTTTTCACATTTCAGTCCATAATCAAACTTGCAGACAAATTGAAGTTTTTTTACTTTATACTATTAATATTCTTTAGCAGCATAATGAGATGAAGAATATTTTACAAGTTTAGGGGCATGGAGAAGTGAAGTTGGTAGGGTCTGATTATGCTGGGGCAAGGGTGGTGTCAGAAGTGGTAAGACTGATGTAAATGATGACGTAATGTTTCTTCCATGATAAATAAATGTCCCTAACTCCCTGTGACCATCAGTGCCTGCTAATCGTGAGGTCTTCCAGTATATTTAGTTCTGTGACTAAGCTCGACTCAACAAATAACAATGATGTATAGAAATAAAGTGGAACCAATGTAATGTGAAATATTTGGTCTCAAAGTTAATTTTGAAAAAAAATTCTCTATCACCTTTGTGCTGTTCTCGTTATCATGTTATAGAAGAGGAGGTGCTGGAGGTCTTAAAATGCATAAATATAGATAAGATAAATTCCTGGGATCATATCAGGTGTTTCCCAGAACTTTCTGAGTTTGCTGGGCCCTTTGCTGAGATATTTGTATCATCGACAGCCAAGGGTGAGGTGCAGGAAGACTGGAGATTGACTAATGTGGTGCCATTATTTAAGAAAGGTGGTAAGGAAAAGCCAGGGAACTACAGACAGGTGAGCCTTACATTGGTGGTGGGTAAGTTGTTGGAGGGGATTCTGGGGGACGGGATTTACATGCATTTGGAAAGGCAAGGACTGATTGGGAATAGTCAACATGGTTTTGTGCGAGGGAAATCGTGTCTCACTAACTTGATTGAGTTTTTTTGAAGAGGTGACAAAGAAGATTGATAAAGGCAGAGTGGTAGCCTTTGTCTACATGGACTTCAGCAAAGCAATCAACAAAGTTCTGCATGGTAAACTGGTTAGCAAGGCAACATCACATGGGATTTGGGGATCTAGCCAATTGGATACAAAATTGGCATGAAGGCAGGGGACAGCGAGTGGAGTAAATTTTCAGATGACACCAAAATAGGTGGTGTAGTGGATAGTGAAGAAGATTATCTCAGAGTACAAGGGACCTTGATCAGATGGGCCAATAGGCCGAGAAGTGGCAGTTGGAGTTTAGTTTAGATAAATGTGAGGTGCTGCATTTTGGTAAGGCCACACAGGGCACAACTTATGCGTTGAATGATAGGGCCCTGAGTAGTGTTGCTGAACAAAGTCACCTAGAGGCACAGGTGCACAGTTCCTTGAAAGAGGAGTCGCAGGTAGACAGGGTAGTGAAGAAGGGGTTTGGCCCGCCTGCCTTCATTGGTCAGAACATTGAGTATCGGAGTTGGGATGTCATGTTGTGGCTGTTCAGGTCATTGATGAGGCCACATTGAGAATACTGCATACAATTCTGGTCGTCCTTCTATAGGAAAGATGCTGTTAAACTTGAGAGGGTGCAGAAAAGATTTACAAGGATGTTGCTGGGTCTTGAGGGTTTGAGTTATAGGGAGAAGCTGAATAGACTGAACCTTTTTTCCCTGTTATGTTGGAGACTGAGGAGTGACCTTTTAGAGGTTTATAAAGTCATGAGGGGCATGGATAGGGTGAATAGCCAAGGTCTTTTCCATAAGACCATAAGACAGAGGAGCAGAAATTAGGCCATTCAGCCCATCGAGTCTGTTCTGCCATTGAATCATGGCTGGTAAGTTTCTCAACCCCATTCTCCTGCTTTCTCCCCATAACCCTTGATCCCCTTGACAATCAAGAACTTATCTATCTCCGTCTTAAATATAGATACTCAATGGGGTGAGGGTGTCCAAAACTAGACAGCATAGGTTAAAGGTGAGAGGGGAAAGATTTAAAAAGGACCTGAAGAGTAACTTTTTCACATAGAGGGTGATGTATGTATGGAACGAGCTGCCAGAGAAAGTGGTGGAGGCAGGTACAATTACAACTTTTAAAAGGTGTCTGGATACGTTTATGAATATGAAGGGTTTGAAGGTTTAGATGGGCCAAATGCCAGCAAATGGGACTAGATCAGATTGGGATGTCTTATTGGTGCAGACGAGTTGGACCGAAGGGTCTGTTTCCATACTGTATGACTCTATTAATGGCAATGGAATTGCACAGAAAAGTTTGGGTGCAATGCAGAGTCTCATTGTTTAACCAGAAGACTCTTTCATAGCTCATCTCTTGTTGGATATTGTCAGCTGATCGTGAGTTTCATCACTGTAAAGCAGTCCCTGTCATGGAATTACAAGTGTTTACTATGTACGCTGACAGAACTTTAAAGTTTTATATATTTTGTTTTAATTGTACTTGTTTCGGAGATGTCTAAAAGCAAGAGAGCAAAACGCTTCCAACTAAACAGTCATGCTGTTGACAATATCTCCCCATATGTGACCAAAAGAAATGTGCGATGCAAGAGTTATAAAATATAAATATAGCAAAGTAAATGCGTACACTTACCAAAGATAATTTTTATTTTGTACTTTTGAAGTTACTGCATCTTAAACTGGAAGAATTCTACTATGAACAGAATCCTCTTTTGGAAAAAGATCTTATTTTCTCAACACAAATGAATGAAGTTTTAACTCTTCAGGTAATTATTAAACATTACTAGAGATATTTCTGAGACTCATTTGGGTAGACCATGTTTTCATTTAGAAAGGTAAAATAGTATTAAGCCAGTCTCCTGTTCACTGAGATCTAAAAGAAATAAATGAGCTATTAATTTGTCCTTGAACTGCTTCAGAGTTTTTTGAACCAACAAAATTTAATTGATTCTGAGATTATGCAATTCATATGATAAAGTGACATAAAACTTACCAGTTCCAGTTCAAGTAGTGCATTTCACTTCAATTTGCATGATTGTATCAAGGAAGCCTGCCATGATGTTGACCCTAGTCAAAAAAAGAAAATAAGCTTGTCAATACAGCGAACCTGTGTCTTCGAAATTCCACTTTTCAAAACCACAAGGTATGTCTAAGTGACTGTGTTTCCCACATCAACATATCTGTCCTGTGAGAAGTATAGTGTTTGGTCCAAATTGCTGTGATGCTCAATCTATGTAGAAAACAGTAATATGTATTTATTCTTTAATTGAGCCTGATGCCTCATTGGAAACACCATTATATCTTAGATGTAATGTAACAGATAATGAAAGCTATGGAAAAAATCCTTTGCTGTTGATCAAGATTGAGCCTATCTTCTGCAAAAACTTTGTGATATCATCCTTCACTCGGTGTTAGCAGATTAAGCAAACACCAGTGAGAAGGGTGGCAAGATGGCTCAGTGGTTAGCATTGCAGCCTCACAGCATCAGGGACCTGGGTTCAATTCCACCCTCAGGCGACTGTCTGTGTGGAGTTTGCACATCTTCCCCGTGTCTGTGTGGGTTTCCTCCGGGTGCTCCGGTTTCCTCCCACAGTCCAAAATGTGCAGGCTAGGTGGATTGGCCATGCTAAATTGCCCGTAGTGTTCAGAGGTGTGTAGATTAGATGGGTTATAGGGGGATGGGTCTGTGTGGGATCCTCCAAGGGTCGAATTGGACTTGTTTGGCCGAAGGGCCTGCTTCCACACTGTAGGGATTCTGTGATTCTAAGGATTGGTTACAGCAAATCTACGCAAGGCATCCAAGATGATTTAGCCATACCATAGCATTGATGTGCCAGCAGTGTGGATTTTGCCAGTTGTAATTCTGTGTTACAACTAGTGACAAGATTTTTTTTCATTCACTCATGAGATGTGGGGGTCACTGGCTGTGACAGTATTTATTGCCCATCCTGATTACCGTTGATCAGTTGCTTCCTTGAACCGCTGCAGTCCAATACCATTAGGGAGAGAGTTCCACGATTTTGATCCAGTGATACTAGGGAATGACAGTATATTTTCAACTCATGATGGAGAGGGGTTTGGAGGGGAATTTGCAGGTGGCAGTGCTCCCATGCATCTGCTCCCTTGTCTTATATGTTAATAGTTGCTGTTTTGGAAGGTGATGTTGAGGGAGCCTTGGTTAATTTCTGCAATGCGTCTTCTAGATAGTACAAACTGCTGCTACTAAGCGTTGGTGTTGAAGAGACAGAATATTTGTGGGTTGGTACCAATCAAGCAGGCTGCTTTGTCCTAGATGGTGTCAAGTTCCAGAATGTTGTTTGAGCTGCACTTATCTAGGCAAGTGAGAATTATACAATACACTCCTGGCTTGTGCTTTGGAAATGGTGGATAGGTTTTGGAAAATCGCTAGGTGAGTTACTTGCTGTAGGATTTCTAGCTTCTGACCTGCACTTGCCCATCCTAGTTAGTGGTTGGTGAGTTGCCTCATTGAACCACTGCAGTCCATTTGATATAGGTTCACCCATGATACCATTAGGTTTCTTTTCTTTTTCCTCTCTCCTTTTGCTTTTCTTTTTCTTTTTACCTCCCCTCCTTGGGCACCATTGGTGGTCCAGGGCGAAAGGCAGCGCAGACTCCTAACCTCAGCATGCACTCAATCTCCTGGCCTCAGCGTGGACTCGAACTCCCGGCCTCAGCGTGCACTCCCAACTCCCGGCCTCGGCGTGTACTCCCAACTCCCGGCCTCGGCGTGTACTCCCAACTCCCGGTACTCACGGCCTCGAAGTGAAGCCCAGTTCGGTCTGAGTTGGAAGAACTATTTACTGTTGTTCTAAACTCGTGTTTTTCTATTTTTCTAAATTATTTATGGATTTTTTAAATTTCTTTATTTTTCTGTTTTCTCCCCTAAGAATTTCTACTTAAGAATTTGTACCTTTATACCTAAGATGGCGCTGTAATTGGCATCTTGTAAACTTTTCACTCTACTCATATGAGTGCATGTGACAATAAAGTGTGACAACACAAAAGTGCATGTGACAACAAATTATTATTATTGTTACTGTAGCCAGAGTACTTTAGTCCAATTCAGTTTCTGGTAAATGATAATCCCCAAGACAGTGGGGGATTCAGTGATGATGATACCATTAAATGTCAAGAGGTGATGGTTAGAGTTTTTATTGTTGGGAATGGTTATTGCCTGACACCTGTGTGGCATGAATTTTACTTGCCTCTTGTCAGCCCAAGCCTGGATTAAAGTTATCCTTCAGAGAGATCAATGAATGCTAATGTCTTGGTAAATGGCATAGGTGGGGAAATGTCTGGGTTCCATTGTGCATTTGGAGTGTGACATGGTCGAAATTACTGTAATTAGGTTTGTTAAGAAGTTGTCTGTGGACAGAGTTGATTTACTCATGGGGAATGATTAAGTTGGAGTTGAAGTTATTTTGCTTATAATCACAGAAAGTTCACGGAATGCTAAGGAAGTGGAAAAGTTGCAGGAACAGATTCTGGGTATTTTTCCATCATTTGTACTGACCAGAGAAATGGCTGAACAAAGTCCATCATGAAAGGTTAATATAATACTTCAAGCATATGTTAAGATACCCAAACGCTATTTAAGAATGAGGACTGTTCAAAATAAATGTTTGGCACAGGCAGCAGATCCGGATTTAAATAAGTTAGCACAGTCTGCTTGCACCGAACTGAGGATGAAGGAGTTCTGGAACGTTATTATATTGAAAACAGCCCAATGATTAAAGTTGTCATTCTTTGAATTAATAAAGTAAAATGAACTGTAACTGTAAGTGGAACAGGCAGGTTGCATTCTTGAAGTGGTGATGGTCTAAAATCTGAAACATTACATTCCATCCTTTTTGTGTACAGATACTGATTGACCTCTGCATTTTGAACATATTGTAATGCAAATGCATTTGATTTAATGTTGGTGAATGCTTTTATTGCTCATATTTTTAATACTCATCTGGTTTCCATTACACATGAAAAGATAAATAAAAGACAGCGTGAAGTTCAGTGTTCAAAATAAAATTACAGAGTTTTGCAGCTATAGAAATCAATATGTTGTGTAGTTAAATTCTTCAAACAATAAATTTACATTTAAGTAGTGAGTGTAGGATCTTGCATTTTCTTTTCCATATGTGAATGATAAACATAGTTATTCTGAATAGTTTTCATTGTGTTTATTGCAGGGGATACTATTCAACTCCTGTTATAAATTAAATACATTTCCTGGAATCTGAAATTGCGTTTCTTGGTCTGCGTTCAGAAAATGAACTTTACTGGCAAAGAACCGAAATGATTACTCTGTTTTCAATGAGCAAATTCAGAGAAAGCTCCCAGAATTATTGATCCAACTGACTAGGGATAATGAAGAGTTGAAAGAAATTAATATTAGTAAGAAGGATATACTAGAGAACTTAATAAGGTTGAATGTTTCTAAGTCGCCTGGACCTGGTGGTCTACAACCCAGAATGTTGAGGGCAGTCTTAATAGAGATAGTCTTTGAAAATTCCATAAATTCTGGAATGATTCTTGAAGATTGGAAGCATGGAACTATCACTCCACTATTTAAGAAGGGAGTGAGGGGAAATGCAGGAAACTACAGACACATCAGCCTGATATCAGTGGTAGGGGAAATGCTAGAATCTGTCATGAAAGACATGACAAATGGACACTTGGATTAAAAAAAAAATCTGATTGGACATAATCAGCATGGATTTGTGAATGGAAAAACATGTTGGACAAATGTTTTGGAGTTCTTTGAGAATGTTACTAACAAGATTGCAAAATAGATGAACGGGAGTCGATGAATATGATATATTTGGATTTTCAGAAGTGTTTTGGTAAGGATCCCCACAGGAGGTTACTTAGCAAAATTAATGCACACGGTATTGGAGGTAATATACTGGCATGAATTAAAGATTGCTACAGACAGAAAACATCAAGTTGGAATAAATAGGTCATTCTTTGGCAGACTATGAACTAGGATCAGTACTTGGGATTGAGTTGTTCTCTATTTCTTAAATGGTAAGAGGTTGAAGTGCATGTGCAAAAGGACTTGGAAGTCTGTAGAGTTTTGAAGAATGAGAGGTGATCACTTTGAAACATACAGAATGTTTAAAGACATAGACAGGTCAGATGCAAGTAAGATGTTACTCCTGATAATATTCTGGAATTATGGTCATGATTTAAAAATAGGAGGGAGCCATTTAAGATAAAGATAAGAATTGTTTTTACTCAGAGAGTTGTGAATCTTTGGAAGTTATCTTCCTGGAGGGCTATAGAAGCTCAGTCTTTATGTTTGTTTAGAAATTGGTAGATTTCTGATTACCAGTGGTATAAAGGGTTTCAGGATAGTGTTTATGAAAGGTGTTGGAGTTGTTGATCAGCCATGATTGTTGTAAGTAGAAAAAAGTCTCAATGGACTGAATAGTCTACTCTAATTCCTGTATTTACGGGTTTGCCTCAAGACTTCATGCATATACATCTTTTCCTTTAGAAACCAATTACGGCTTTGATCTAGTAACACTGAAGAATATTCGTTAAACAAAACAAAATTGCAGGTTATAATGTTTAAAACCGATTTCCTTACAGTGAAACAGGTACAAGTGGCATTTGGTTAAGAAGTGTGAACAAAGGTGATTTTATTGCATTTTTATTTTGCTGGAGCAATAAATATAATTTCCAAGTTTCAGTTGTTGAACTCTGAATTATAAATATAGTGTTTTCAGGAGACCACAAAAGTAAGAAT